ACCCAGGAGGCGGAGCTTGCAGTGAGCTGAGATCCGGCCACTGCACTCCAGCCTGGGTGACAGAGCGAGACTCCGTCTCAAAAAAAAAAGACAGAGTCTCACTAAGTTACCAGGTTGACCTCAAAATCCAGGGTTCAGGCAATCCTCCTGCCTCAGCCTCCCAAGTAGCTGAGAGGCACTACCGTGTCCAGCAATTGAGCATCTATTATGCGCCAGACTTTGAGCTCTTCACCTTCCTCTTACATTACTGTGCCCTGTAACAAACGCTCAAGGGGCCCCCTAACCTCTGTGTGCTCATTTCCTCACCTGTGAAAAGGGGATCATGACGGCACCTGCTGCGTAGGATTGTTTCAAGGATTAAATGAGTTCATATTTATAAAGTGCTTACAACAGTGCCTAGCACTTAGCAAGCACTCTCTATGTGTTTGAAAATACAAATAAGTCAAATAAGTAAAGGTTATTACTTCATTATACTGTTGGGGGAACTGAGGCTCAGAGTTAAAGAGAGAAGAACTCTGGGAGAGCTTCCTGCTTCAGCCTTCTTTATTATTCACCTGCAGATCCCTCTAAGAAATGGTGTCAGCAGTAAGGAGGAGGAAGACGAGAAGAAGATAATAGAGGCCCAAAGCAGGTCATGAGTCCCTAAACCCAGCCTCCCCCAGTGTGTGATTTGGTGGACAGCAGGCTCTGAGCAGTTGGAGAAGCAGCCAGAGAGGCTGCCGCAGAGAGGGCAGGACCTGTCACCCAGCCAGGTGCAGGTGCAGGCTCCAGGCCAGGGAAAAGGAGGCAAAGAAGCCAGAGAAAGAAGCAAAGGAGAACAAGAAACTCAGGAGAAAGCCCTGAACGAGGAACCAGGAGTGAGTTCTGGCTCCAGCCTGGGCAGCCTTGAGCAGGTCACTGTCCCTTGCTAAGCCTGTTTCTCCGTCCCTACCATGGGAATCGTTGAACCTCCTCATAGGATTGTTGTGAGAATTAAACCGGTTAACACAGGTAATGATCAAAACAGTGCCTGGCACTCGGGAGGCACCTTGGAAATTTTAGCTCTTAATATTATTCTTCTAGTCAAAATGGGTTGCCTCGGACTTCTGGAAGCCTGGAGAGGATCCAAGACACTTCTGGTGTGAGCATTTTTTTTTTTTTTTTTTTTTGAGACAGTGTCTCGCTCTGTTGCCCAGGCTGGAGTGAGGTGGAGTGATCTCGGCTCACTGCAACCTCCACCTTCCAGGTTCAAACGATTCTCCTGCCTCAGCCTCCCAAGTAGCTGGGACCACAGGCACGCACCACCACACTCAGCTAATTTTGTATTTTTAGTAGAGATGGGGTTTCACCATGTTGACTAGGCTGATCTCGAACTCCTGACCTCAAGTGATCTGCCTGCCTCGGCCTCTCAAAGTGCTGGAATTACAGGCATGAGCCACCACGCCTGGTTCACCATCCATTTTTGCCCAAAACCTGGGAGCATCTTTGCTGACTCAGTGGCACTAGGCATACTCCTATATCTGCTATACCCAAATACCCTAGATGCCACAGCTACTGACGGCCTACTGCCATGCCCACACTGTGGCGGCACCCTGTTCACTCAGCTCAGCATCCTCAGAACCTGACACGTTGCCTGGAGCCTAGTAAGCACCTGATGATATTTGCTAAATGATCACATTATTTTTGTTTGTAGTACACCCAGGCCTGAACTGAGCCATCTCTTCCAGCCAAGCCATCCTGGCAGGCATCCGGTAGCCCTGCCACATCCCTCTCATCCCTGGGTGTGTCCCATCCAGCAGCACCTGGGCCATCCCAGGCTGTACCCGTCAGACCCACCAAGACCCTGTGGCCCCAGCTTCCTACTCACACCACGCCAGGCCTCGGGCAGGAGTCTGAGGTCCAGTAGAAGTGTTTCACCACACGCAGGGGCATACGGTAACGGACGTAATCACGGCAGCAGACGCTGTCTTCCATGTTGGCGCCGTAGGGGCCTAGCGGAGGGGTGCCCAGTGAATGCACAAGCTGGAGCCCAGAGAGGTCACCCTCGGCCCCAGCCCCTGATCTCGGCCTCTCCAGGCTCCAGGAAAGAGATGCAGTTTTTCTGTTCTCATGTGGAAGGATGGTGACCAGAGGATTCTGAGCCCTCCAAGATCCTACCCTTGGAGCTTCTGAGAAGCCACTTACGGTCTGATGTCTACACTCTGGGACAGTCAGCTCTAGGAACAGGGATTCAGAACAACTAAGCATCAGCTGTACCCCAAGATGGGACTCAGTGACTGAGCCAGAAGGTGCCTTAGATCCTTGCTGTTCAAGGTAAGGTCCATGGTCCATGGCATCAGCGTCACCTGGGAGCTTGTCAGAAATGCTCAGCCCCCGGCGCCAGACCTGCTGAATCCGGTGTGCATTTTGACAAGCTCCCCAGTCATCCATCAGCACATGGGCACTTGAGAAGTCAGCTTCTGCTCATATGTGTGCAGTGGGAAGGCTGCGGTCCAGAGAGGGAGAGTAACTTGCCCAGGACCACACAGCAAGATGCAGCAGAGTCAGGACGAAGGCTCAACAGAGGACAGTCACATAGACCCGGGTTCGAGTCCCGCTTTCCCCTGACTCACTGGGCCACCCTGACCAAGTCATTGAATCCTCTGAGGCCCAATTTCCTTATCTGATCAAAGGGGTAATAACAGTACCAGCTTCAGAGGATGTTTAATGCATGAAAAGCGCTCAGAAAGCCCAGCAGCTGGGAGCCATTCCTGTTTATAGCTGCCCCCCCCCACTCCAGTGCTCACTCCTCCACCCAACACAGCACAAGCATAGAGTGGGGTGGAGAAGGAGTCAGGAACCCATACTGAGGACAGGTTCTGGACAAAAATGGATAGTGAGCCCAGCGCAGTGGCTCACGCCTGTAATCCTAGCACTTAGGCAGGCTGAGATGGGAGTATCACTTAAAGTCAGGAGTTCAAGACAAGCCTGGTCAACATGGTGAAACCCCATCTCTACTAAAAATACAAAAATTAGCCGGGCATTGTGGTGGGTGCCTGTAATCCTAGCTACTCAGGAGGCTGAGGCAGGAGAATCACTTTAACCCCAGAGGTGGAGGTTGCAGTGAGCCAAGATTGCGCCACTGCACTCCAACCTGGGCGACAGAGACTCCATCTCAAAAAATAAATAAATAAAATGAAATAAAAAATAAATTTAGGCTAGGCGCAGTGGCTCACGCCTGTAATCCCAGCTCTTTGGGAGGCGGAGGTGGATGGATCATCTGAGGTCAGGAGTTTGAGACCAGCCTGGCCAACATGGTGAAACCCTGTCTCCACTAAAAATACAAAAATTAGCCAGGCATGGTGGTACATGCCTGTAATCCCAGCTACTCAGGAGACTGAGGCAGGAGAATTGCTTGAACCTGAGAGGTGGAGTTTGCAGTGGGGCAAGATTGCTTCACCGTACTCCAGCCTGAGCAACAAGAGCAAAACTCTGTCTCAAAAAATAAAATATAATATAATAAAATAATTTAAAAAATAATACAATTTTTAAAAATGGATGGTAGGAGGGCAGCACCAGCTTTCCAAGGGAGAACCACTTGCCCCAGACCTGCCTTCCCCTACTCAGACCTGACCCCTTAGAAGCTCCTCACCCACACCCCTACGGCCCTATGCTTGAGTTTTCTGGAGCAGGAGATCCCGAGGCTATGCCCACCACAACCCCCAACCCAACTGAGACAGATCCTAGACTCCAAGCCTTCAAGACTACCCATTCAACAGACTTGTAAACTGAGGCCCAGAGAAGCGCTGTAACTAGCCGAAGACCGCAAGAGCCAACCGCAGACTGAGGTCTTCTGTTCTCAGTCCAGTGCTTGTCCAAGACATGAGGAAGACACCCCAGCGTCCACCCTGGCCTCTGTAGGGGGCCTTCCTGCTCCCCAGCCTCACCTGCCTCAGTTGCTTGAAGCGCCACAGCAAGGAGGATGAGGACACCCAGGAACACAGTCTGTAGGCGAGCCATGCTCTGTCCTGTATGTCTCAGCCCAGGTGTCTGCAAAGGAACATAGGAAGACCTGCTATTTAAGATGCTGGCTCCACCCACAAGCCTCACTTACTTACCTCTTAGTCACCGGGGTGCCCGGAGTCACTTGACATTCACATCTCAAAAGGAGAACTACCTCCCACTTCCTCCAAAGTGGAGAAATTCTCTTTGGCGGGGAACCACTCAGAGGGGACCCCCCCCAAATCTGTCCTCTCCTCTGGTTTCAGAGAGACTTGTAAAATCCCCCTCTTAGAGGCTCGTGCTCCCCAGGGTCTCCACGCTGTGTGGCCTTGTCTAGCTGTCTCTGGGACTTGGTTTCCCCATCTGGAAGTAAGGGAGATGGTTTCACAGCCCTGTTGACTTCACTGGTTGTAAATCAAGTGAGAATGTGGACCAACCCTCACCTGGAATTGAGTGAGGCCTGTCTTGTACCCTTAATGACAGCATCACTGATCTCTCTTCAATGGGAGAGGCCTATGGACCCATTGACCCATCACCAGCCTCTTCTGGGGCTTCTCGCGAAGCCCACATTTGGGCCAGGTCATAGATTTCTCAACGGTTTATGAAAAGCGTCCACCCACACTTCTATCCTGCCTGATTTTCCTTCCCAGTGGCTGCCAGGCTCTCCCTCCCCTACTCCCGTCTCAGTCCCTCACCATGTCCATGTCCTGTTGATTCTGCTTCCTAAATCTCTCTCAGATCTGCTTCTTCTCTCCAACCCCACTGTCCTTGCCCAGTCCGGGCCACCTCCACCTCAGGCTGGGATGCTGGCCCCCTCAATGCCATCCTTACCTTGCAGCAGCCAGAGTGCGTGGTCCCGAGCTACACACTCTCTCTCCTGCTTCAAAGCCCTGCTGTGGCTCCCCATTCACCTAAGGGCAGGACCTGGGCTCCTGTCTGTGGCCCTCAAGGCCCCGTTTCCGGACAGGCCTTTCCCTACTGGTCTCCCTCCCCTGAGGGATCACACCACACTCCTCACAGTTCCTCAAAAGGGACTGCGGCCTGTCCCTGGCCTTTAATGTCACTTTCCACATCTCTACCGCATAAACTCCTACTTATGCGTCAAAGCTGTTTGAAATGTCACGTCCTTGGTAAGCACACCCTCTCAGGACTTCAAAGCCTTCTAGGGGACCTGGAGTGTGGCCCTGGGCAGACTGTGTCAGGTTTTCTCTTTCTCAAGCCCCTCCCTAGAAGCCAGACTCCAAGCTCTAGGAGGCTGGGGTCTCCCTTCATTTTTCCTGGCATTCCCAGGGCCTTCTGAGGATCAGGCACATGGTAGGTGCTTGAAACACATAGGCTGGGCACGGTGGCTCATTCCTGTAATCCTGTAACCCCAGCACTTTGGGAGGCCCAGGCAGGTGGGTCACCTGAGGTCAGGAGTTCAAGACCAGCCTGGCCAACATGGAGAAACCCCATCTCTAACAAAAATACAAAAATTGGCTGAACATGATGGCACGCGCCTGTTATCCCAGCCACTCGGGCGGCTGAGACAGGAGAATCGCTTGAATCCGGTGAGAGGCAGAGGTTGCAGTGAGCCAAGATTGCACCACTGCGCTCTAGCCTGAGTGAGAGAATGAGACTCCATCTCAAACAAACAAACAAACAAACAAAAACAACACATCTAATGAAAGAGGAAACTGAGGTTCAGAGAAAAAGAGGACTTGCCCAGCTCACACAGCCACACAGAGGCTACGCCAGGCCTGGAACTCAGAACTTGGGACTCCATTTATAAAGGGAGCCATCCCTTCATCCAGTTCCTTCATTCAGCAAATATTTGTTGAACCCTGTCGTAGACAGAATAACTGCCCCCCTAAATGTCCACATTCTAATCCCCAAAACCTATGAATATGTTACCTTATGTGGTAAAAAGGACTTTGCAGATGTGACTGTTTAGGGTTTAGGATTTTTGTTGTTGTTGTTGTTTTAGGGGCAGGATCTCACTCTGTCACATAGGCTGGAGTGCAGTGGTGCAATCACAGCTCACTGCAGCCTTGACTTCCTGGGCTCAAGCGATCCTACTGCCTCAGTCGCTTAAGTAGCTGGGAATACAGGTATGTGCCACCATGCCCTGCTAATTTTTATTTCTTCTAGAGATGGGGGTCTCACTATGTTGCCAGGGCTGGTCTTGAACTCCTGGCCTCAAGCAATCCTGCTACCTCGGCCTTTTGAAGTGCTAGGATTATGGGTGTGAGCCACCATACCTGACCTAGAATCTTTAAAGAGGGAGATTTCTTGGATTATCTGGACAGGCCGAAGGCAATCACAGGGTTATTTCAAAAGGGAGGCAGTGGGTCAGAGTCAGAAGAGATGATGGATGACAGAGCAGAGGTCCCAGTGACGTGGAACTCTGAACCCAGGGATGCAGGCGGGTTGGAGAAGCTGGAAGAGGTAGGGAAACAGATTCTCCCCTAGAGTCTCCAGAAAGAACTTATCTCTCCCTACACCTTGAGTGTAGTCCACTGAGACTGATTTAGGACTTCTGACATCTCAGGCTATTGGATAATAAATTTGTGATGTTTTAAGCCACCAAGTTCATGGTCATTTGTTACAGCAGCCAGAAGAAGCTCATACAAGCACCTACTATGTGCCAAGTGCACTGCCAGAGCCTGGGAAGGCAGCCTGAACAGGAGAGCAGGGGCCCCTGCTCTGATGGAGTTTGTCTTCCACAACAGACAAACATGGCAAACAACGTAATGTCAGGCTGGGAGGAACATCAGGAAGCGAATGAAACAGAGAAGCAGCTTTGGGATAGGCAGTCGGGAAAGGCCTCTAGAAGGGGGTGACATTTCAGCTGAAATTCAAAGATAGAAGGGAGGCAAGGCACAGTGGCTCATACTTATAATCCCAGCACTTTGGGAGGCTGAGGCAGGCAGATCATTTGAGGTCAGGAGTTCAAGACCAGCCTGGCCAACGTGGTGAAACCCCATCTCCACCAAAAATACAAAAATTAGCCATACGTGGTGGTGCACACCTGTAATCCCAGCTACTTGGGAGGCTGAGGTAGGAGAATCGCTTGAAGCCAGGAGGCAGGCAGAGGTTGGGGTAAGCCAAGATTGCACCACTGTACTCCAGCCTGGTGGCAAAGCGAGACTCCATCTCGAAAAAAAAAAAAAAGATAGGAAGGAGCCTACCAGGGAGAGACACAGCAGATGCAAAGGCCCAGACAGACTGAGAGGGCTGAACAGCTGAGACAGAGTGGGTAGAGACAGAATGGGTAGAGATGCAGAGCGCAGCTGAGTGGAGAGGCTGGCAGGCAGGGACCGCAGGGCTCCTGTGAGCTTCTGCTAGGATGCAAACTGAAGTGCACGGCATCACCTCAGAGGACCTCTTGTCAAAAGCCCTGACCCAGGACCAGTCACAAAAGAACAAATACTGTATGATTCTGCTGCTTTGGGGAACCTGGAATAGTCACATTCACAGAGACAGAAGGCAGAATGGTGGTTGCCAGGGGCTGGAGGTGGGGGAATGGGCGTTAGAGTTTCAAGGGGACACAGTCTCCGTTTTGCAAGATGAAAGTTCTGGAGGTGGATGGTAGTGATGGTTGCACAACAGTGTAAATGTATTGAATTCCACTGAACTGTACACTTAAAAATGGCTACAATGATAAATGTATGTTATTCATATTTTTACCATTCTTTTAAAAGGTGCTTCCCTAGAATCAAATCAAGTCCCCAGTATTAATTACCAGTTGACAAGAAATACAGGGGCTAGAGGAAGAAGATAAATGGCCCCATGAGGAAGCGATCAGACAACGCCAGAAGGTGGAACCTTCCAGATGCTCTTCAGGATAACTGTACGCAGATCATCAAGAAGTTAATGTCGGTCTGGCGCGGTGGCTCAAGCCTGTGAGCACTTTGGGAGGCCCTGGTGGGCAGACCACTTGAGGTCAGGAGTTTGAGACCAGCCTGGCCTACGTGGTGAAACCCCATCTCTACTAAAAATACAAAAATTTAGCTGCATGTGGTGGTGCATGCCTGTAGTCCCAGCTACTTGGATGGCAGAGGCATGAGAATCACCTGAACCTGGGAAGAGGAGGTTGCAGTGAGCCAAGATTGTGTCACTGCACTCCAGCCTGGGCAACAAAGTGAGACTCTGTCTCCAAAATTTAAAAAAAAGTTAATGTTGTTTTAGAAAAATAATAAAGTGAATAGAACATTTATGATTAAAAGAGGCTTAAGAGACATAACAGCCAAATGCAATTCATGGACCTTGATTGAATCCTAGCTTTGCAAAAACAGTCAGGGCATAGTAGCTCATGCCTGTAATCCCAGCAGTTTGTGGGTCTGAGGCTCACTTGAGGCCAGAAATCTATACCAGTCTGGGCAATATGGTGAAAACCCCTCTCTACAAAAAATACAAAAAAATTAACCAAGTGTAGTGGCATGTGCCTGTAGTTCCAGCTACTCGGGAAGCTGAGATGGGAGGATCACTTGAGCCCAGGAGGTGGAGGTTACAGTGAGCCAAGATCACGCCACTGCACTCCAGCCTGGGTGACAGAGCAAGACCCTATCTCAGAAAAGAAAAAGGAAAAACAGGGGGCCAGGCGCAGTAGCTCACGCCTGTAATCCCAGCACTTTGGGAGGCCGAGGCAGGTGGATCACCCGAGGTCTGGAGTTCAAAACCAGCCTGCCAAAATGGTGAAACCCCATCTCTACTAAAAATACAAAAATTAGCCTGGCGTGGTGGTGCGCACCTGTAATCCCAGCTACTCAGGAAGCTGAGATAGAGTAATTGCTTGAACTCAAGAGGTGGAAGTTGCAGTGAGCCAAGATGGCACCACTGCACTCCAGTCTGAGCAACAGTGCAAGATTCCATCTCAAAAAAAAGAAAAAAAGAAAAGAAAAAACAGCTCTAAAAAGATCTTTTGGGGACAGTGTGGAAATGTGGAAATGTGACTATGGGCTGGATAGTATAGTAGATTATTAGTGCTTTATTGTTGATTTTCTTCAGTGTAATGTAGGAAAATGTCCTCATTCCTAGAAGATGAAGTATTTAGGGATAAAGGTCA